CTGGGCTTAGGCGATTCTCTTGCCTCAGCCTCCCGAATAGCTGGGATTACAGGCGCCTGCCACAACGCCTGGCTATTTTTTTGTTGCAATTTGGCCAGGGCTGAGTTTGAACCCACCACCCTCAGTATATGGGGCCTGCACCTTACCCACTGAGCCACAGGCGCCGCCCTTGGTATTATTATGGTGAAGGTTTTTCCATCCACATTGGTGAAGGATACTGGTCTATAGTATTCTTGTATCATTTGCTGGCTTTGGTATGAGGATGATACTGGCTACATAGAATGAGTAGGGCAGGACTCCTCAGTGTTATGAAACGGCACCAGTCCTTTGTAGGTGATAGGTATGCTTTAATTTAAAAAGATGCATGAATAGGTACAGATTGAGTAAAATAGACACTATATTTAGTCCTTATTTATTGAAGATACTAATAAATTCATTCATTAAGGATAGTATTTTCATTTTACTCAAGTCATTTTAAAACAAGTATTCTACCAGAGATAAGTGAAAGGTTTTGACAAAGGAGAACCCTGATAGATTCAGTTTTTATTAACTAGACTTAACAAATTAGCCATAAGAGAGAAAACCAAGGTTATCTGTATTTTACCCCAAAGGGAGAAATCATAGTGAATATGTTAAAAAGAAGCTTCACAGCAAGTGATTCTTCAAAGATTATAATCCTTTGCCTGCCAGTAATGTGTGATAATTATTATGGTATTGCCAGTGGGAATATGGTGCATTGGAGATGGTAGAAAGACTAAAAACCCCTGCTCTGGAGCAGTTTTTCATTGCCATTAAAATGCATTGTTTTGCTTGCTTTATTAGTAAGGGTCACTGAGCATTTGAGCATGTATATCTCAGTAAACTGAAGTTATACCATTATTGTATAGTTACAAGTTTAGTAAACTGAACTGTACACTTTTCTGTCTATTTTTTTGCGGGTTTGTGAGGGCGTCGCAAGCTAGTAAAGTGAAACAATTCTGGAAACTCTGTTCCATAATTAACTTTATTTGGTGAATACAGCGATCCCTCAGTATCTGTTAGGGATTGGTTCCAGGACTGCTTACAAGTGTGAAAATCTGGGGATACTCAACTTCCTTGTGTAAAATGGTGTAATATTTGCAAATAACCTATGCAAATACTCTGGGTACTTTAGAGCATCTCTAGATTATTTATAATACCTAATATAATGTAAGTGCTATATAAATAGTTGTTATACTATATTATTATGGAATAATGACAAGAAGAAAAGGTCTCTTCATGTTGAGATTATATACAGATTTTTTTCCCCTGAATATATCTCATCTGTAGTTAGTTTAATCCACTGATGCAGAACCCATGGATATGGATGACTGACTGAAATTTAAAGTTTTTCTGAATGTTACTAAACTTTTTTATAATAAATGCTATTGTCGATAGTATAATTTTATGATATATGTTTGAAGAATTTCTTATTTTATTTTATCTTTATTTTTCAAGAATTTCTTTTTTTAAAGAGGCAAAGCATTTATTTTGCCTATTTTACCCTGTGGTAGGTAATACAAGTAGGTAGATTAACCCTTAATAGCATGTGAGAAGCATCATAAACTAGCACTAGTTGAGAGAGGAAAGATTGAGTGGAAAAAAGATTAAATAATAACTCCCATGCACAATAACAGAGGACCATCAGGAATTATCAGGATCGTATGTAAATTCAGGTGAACACAAAAGGGGCAAAGTGTTGGGCAGTAGATCTTGTGGAACTACAGTCATTATCACGAAATACTCTTCAAGTGTTAATTCAAATCCAAGTGCTTCCCTGGCTTTGGTCTCTTTGGGGAAGAGAGGGAGAGGGATAGGATTTGATAGTGCTCTCAGTCCAGGGCCCTTACTGCTTCTGACTTGGGGCTTTGACTTCTGCCAGTGCACCTTCCTGTATGTCCTCAGTTTGGTTTGCTCCAGGGAGGAGAGTATTCTGTTCTGCTTTCCAGAGAATGCCAATTGGACACTACTTTCTTTTCTTTTTAGTATATTTCATTAAGATTGGCAAACAGTATTATTTCAGTATATTCAGTGAGAAGAATTTTCAGAAAGAAAACATGATAAAATATGTATATATAAACTTGTTACAATGTTAAGTAAACACATGAGCTGTGTCTTTACTAACTCCTAGGAACTCACTGAAAACCACTTGATTTAAGTCACCTATTAGGTTGAGAACTGAAATGTCTATGAAAGACATAATGTCATTGACCAATCACATGGACATGTGCTCAGAGATAAGAATTCCTGCATATAACCTAAAAATGGTATAAACAGGACAAATGCTTGAAATAATGTGTGTTTTAAGTTAGATATGAGTAACAACAAGAGAGCAGGGGAACACTAATTAGTAAAAAACCATGTTTATAATATAAGATAAAGGATTTATACCTTAGAATTAGTTTATAACTAAACATATGGACAATGAAACAATAAGGAAGTATAGAGATGAAACTCAGCCTTTTACTCTGAGTAATGAAATGTGAAACAACTGTATTTATTAACCAGAACAGTTTTTGACAGCTTAAGGCCTGTCCACAATTGGTCCAACAAATGTCAATAGTCTTTTTTAACTAATATGTTAATATGTAGACATTTGAGAAGTGTATTCCCATGTAATATTTTCAGTGAAATTTTTTGGTGTTATGTTTAGACAAAATGACGTTTTCCTTTTTTGATTTGTGTTTTTCTTTTTTCTCCAGGAAACTGACTGGACATTCTTTCCACATGGGCTATAGCATGGCAATTTTGAATGGCATTGTAGCTGCTCTTACTGTGGCATGGTGCCTCATGTAAAACCACAGTGAAGCAATATTGTTGGCAAAACTTAGAAATGATCATTTTGTAATGAAAAGAAAGAAGATCATTGCCTATTCAGAAAACCAAGAAACCTACTGTTCATTATGTGGTCCAGATGTATGTCATCATCATCATCATGGAGGACCTTTCAAAGCAACTGTTCTAGAGTCGAGGCATTGGGAATATCTAAATATTAAGTTTTAAGTACCTTCTTAAAAGTATTAGATGTTTACCTCATCTTTTTACTTTTGTGTGTGTTTTTATTAGTTGTAGAAAACTTTTTAATGGAAATCAAATTCAAAAACTTGAATACAGGACAATGCCTACCTTTCCATGTATGTATTACATTTTTTGCTAAGATAGTGATATGACTGTTTAATTAAGATCCAAACATCTTATGTATATGTTAGGAAAGCAAATAATTCGTACTATGCCAATACTTTATAGAAGCCACTTTTAAATCAAAATATTTAGTTTTTGATATTTGTGTAATTAATAGAAGGTGCATTTATATTTTTTATGGGGCATAGCTCCTTGTGTGTTTTTTAATGTATTTTCCTATGACATTGAATTTGTATATTTTTAAAATTGTTGCATCTGGACATAAGTGTCATCTCTTAGTGGTACAAGTCTAATAACCCATCTTTAAGAAAAAACAAAAGAGCACATTGACCTAATTTTAAAATTGAGTAAGTTTATTTTTAAAATTACTTACGTCATGAAAATATTAAGAAATTTTAAGCTACTCACTATTTCTATTTCCACAATTCCAAATATTTATCTTGGTGTATATATTATTATTTTAACAGAACTTATATTGTTTTTAATAAATATAAACCTGGAATTTTTGTATGTAGAAATGATTGAACTAGTTTGTTCTTAATCTCAAATATTAAGTTACCAAAGTGAAAAAGGGATTTTGATACTATATATAATTATGTAATATATATTAAGTATTGCATATAATATAGTTTTATAGTTTTCCTGGTTAAATTTCTTCTATAATTACGTTAGTTTTTATTTTCTTAGTAATTAAGCCTTAATTGTTCCCTACCATTACTAAATACCTAAAGTGTTTAGAAAGTCACTTCAGTTTGAAGAAGGTGGACTATTTACAAAGCTGTTTTCCCTGGCCACAGAAAAACTTACATTAGAAAACCGTTGTTTAATCAAACTGCTTATTTGAGCTAAGTGAGAAATGAGTATGTTCAGTGTGTTACGCTGAATGTTGTTGTTGAGTAACTGAAGTTTCCATTTTTTACTATTCAAAAATCTTTGGTTGGAAATGACTAGTGCTGCTCCAATTTCAATTATTTGAAGTGTTGAGACCAGTACGTAGGTGTATGTTTATGTCTAAGTATCAATCCCATGCCTTAAGTATTCATACCAGAATGATGGTTGCAATCCCAGGCTTCCTTTCTGCCCACCCCAATCTTTAAGTCTAAAGGGCTCTTCCATGGCAAAGAAATGTACAAGTAACAAAATTGATTTATCTTTCTACTCCTAGGCCCTCACTCCTCAGCCCCACCAGTTTGGATAGCTCCCTCCAGATTCCTTGTGCCTAATTACTAAGAAAGTTATGGCAGCAAACCTCAGAGATGTGTGTGTATGTGCAGTCACATGCCACATAATGACACTGCAGTCACTGCAGCCTGCATATGTGATAGTGTTCCCATAAGATGAGAGTACCATATTTTTACTGTACTTTTTTTGTTTATATATGTTTAAATACACAAATAGTTGCTACTGTGTTATGACTGCCTATAATATTAAGTAACTTGTACAGGTTTTCAGTCCAGAAGCAATAGGCTGTAGGGTGGGAAACTTAACGGCCTTAATGACACATGTGGCCTTCTAAGTCCATAGGGCAGCCTTCTGACTGAACTCAAATTTTACAGAACAAATCCATTTAATAAAAGGAAATCCAGCAGAGAAGAATGAAGCTTTTCTTCTGGGTTTTGCTGCTTAAAAAAGAACAATCTTGAAATCAGAAGGCTGTAGATTCCCCGCTTATATGCATATTGCCTAGGTGTGTAGTAGGCTGTACCATCATGGTTTGTGAAAATACAGTCTATGATGTTCATATGACAATGAAGTCACCTCATGACACATTTCTCAGAATGTATCAGTAAGCAACACATGGCTGTGTATCTCTATAAGCTATAATATACAATGTAGATGCATACAGAGATATGCATCTGTAAGACATTTTTCTGAAACTATTTATTTTGGGTAGTGTTCCTCTTTTTGGAAAATGGCCCTTCTCCCTCTGATTTAACATAGGGTCCAAATAGAAACCATCCATAACCAGAACAATTGCTTGAGAATGTTACCCAACACAAGCTGGGCTAATCCTAGTTTCTCATCTCTCTTGGCTGTAGTGACTGCAACAGGAATGACTCCAATCAGGTCAGTTTTTTCCCAGGATTTTTCAAATTGAAATTAAAGTGTGACAAAGCTGGGAAGATACAGGCCTAGGAAATCCTGGCAGCCATAGTTCATCCAAACTCAGTGGAAAAGAATAAGACTGACATGGATACTGCTAATGGCATTCTTCTGGCCCCTAAAGCCCAGTTGCAATACTACCATTCTTGAAATTTGGTTCCATGAGACAACACATTTCTCTATGCTGTTTGCCATTGCTGTTCATATTGGCTGTTGTCATTTACAACAAAACAAATCAAGGTGAGCTTACCTAGTAGTTAGAATCATCTCCATTGTGAAACTGACTTCTGATTATGTCATCTTTTTACATGTAGCTGATAACATTCAACATTCTGTTCGGTTAGTCATGAAGGATACACAGGGTATGAGTGTGCATGTGGCTAATCATTAGTCTCAGTGATTCCAAAAGAGCTTTTGAGTTAAACTAGTTCTTTTTTGTGTGTGTGTATGAGACAGAGTCTCACTTTGTCACCCTTGGTAGAGTGCCATGGCACCTCCAACTCAGCCACCACAACACCTGGCTATTTTTTAGAGCTGGGGTCTTGCTTTTGCTCAGGCTAATCTCGAACTTAAGAGCTCAGGGCAATCCACCTGCCTTGGCCTCCCACAGTGCTAAGATTATAGGTGGGAGCCACCACTCCCAGCCCCAAACTAGTTACTAATTTTCTTTCTGTTTCATCAAGAATTATGTCCTCTATTTTAATTCTGTCTTAAGTGATACAAATCTATAGTTATATAAGGTAATGAGTTTTAACTGTGTTAACTTAATAATTGTTTCCTAGCTTCTTCACCTGTTAAATACTTAATTATTTAAATTACAGTGAAAACACTTCATGTTATAATTTGTAGGATCTAGAAAAAAACACTATGTAGAAATAAAACATAAATGCATTTATCAGGATGTAGTGAAGATTGAAAACTGATGAGCTAAGAATGCAAATCAAAAGTTAGACAAAGCAGCAGAGTAACATACTCCATCCCCAATAAGAAAGATTGGAAATAGGAAAGGTTAGGATACTGTAAATAGAGAATAATACTGAAAAAGGAGGGGGGGACAATATCCAATACTAAAAGTAGTTTCTTTGAAAAGGTGTGATAAAGAGACTTCTGGTAAATTAGATTAAAAGGAGATTATTATTTTTTTCTTCTATAGTTGTCTTTCCCATTACTGCTCGTTTTCCCTATTATGTCAGGGTCTTATATTGCAATCAACAGAAACCATCTGACTAAGGAAAGGGGAATTTATTGGAAGGATATTGAGTGAACTCAGCTGGTGGGCAGAAACCAAGCAAGTGTCAGTATCAAGAAAGCAGTGGGCCTGTTAGTGCTGAGACTGCCGTTCTGACATGTTTTTGTCCTCACACTCAGGGTTCAGAGTCCTTACAGAAAGTGTACAGTTGGTCAGGGGTAGGCCAGGCTCTT